CAATTTTGCATGAGAAATGTTTCACATTGATCCATTATCAATATCTCAATAGAAGAAAGAAAGTCGAAATCGTGCTTTTTGTCTCTAGAATTAATTACATAATTTTGAATAATGCGTAAATATATAGATATTGGACTTAATATAATAAAATTTTAAAAGAATTTACCCTTCAGTTCCAATGACCATCCGTAATCCTAATGGAGAGGCAAGAATAATGTCTGCGTTGTAAAATTCGGCATAAAATTTCACCGACTTTCGTGTGAATTTAATACCAATCCGAAACATATCATCGATGTTGCCCTTGAAAGTTTCTAAAAAGTCCACTATAACATGGATTTAAACTCTAGTTTTTAAATTATATTCACTATAAGATCTTTAATATTAGATATATATTCAACCTGGCTTGCTTAAGTTAATCTTTTCTTCATCTGGGGAAATACCGTAAGAATCGAAAAATCGTTTGCGATTCTCCTTTATTATTAAACATAAATAATATAAATATATCAATTACTTCATACATTTCATCCAATTTCGTCTCAGCACGTACTTGTTGTTCAGCTCCAGATAATTGTATGAATATTTCTGCTAAATCAAGAGCAGAATTACGGAATGGTAGTAGAACCAAAACTTTAGGTCGCGTGAAACCCTGATCTCGAAATTCCCTAAAAAAAAATGTCATATTTATAATACTTATAATCATTAAAAGTGAAATTTTTGAAAAATATTAAATAAAACTACTTGCTCAATGTCTTTTCCAGCAGAATGTGCGCGAGTAATTTTTGCATTATTCTTTAATACACGATTTCTAGTCCTTGAAACATGATTAAATTATATACAAGCGTTACTAAATTAATATTTAAAATGAATTGTGTTAATAACACTTTGTTTTCTTACTTAAAAATATGATTTAAAGCATGTAAAGCATAAATTTTCCGTATTTCTCTTGAATTTTCCACGGAACGATTGGTGAACAAAATGTCGTGATATTTATTAAAAAGGTGAAAGAGACCAGTTTGCAGTTCCGAGAAAATCGAATCTTTACTCTCTTGAATGTATAATTATTATAATTATTATCGTTTTACAATATTTTACAACCATATACAAATAAATCAATAAAATATACCATCCAACTTTTTCCAAGAACAAAGTAATTTTTCCTTAATCTGATGAAGTATGAGATAAGTATTTTAAAAGTCCGATGTTACAAACATTGAAAACTAAAATGTTACCTTTAACGAATTCAAATTTAACTCTGAGACTCCAATAAGGTTTTCTTTCGCTTCCGAATCTTGTTCTATTGAATATTTTGATACCGATTTCAAAATT